TAGCCTATGTGAAGATCCAACTTGGAGAACATTGTTGTTGCTTTCAATTCGTCGAGCAACTCGTCAATGGTAGGTATAGGGAAACAATCCTTGATTGTCAAAATGTTGAGTGCCCTATAAACGATTCACATGTTCAGGATCCATCTTGCTTCTTGACAAACAAAACTGGCGAGGAGAAACGGCTACGACTCTCCTGAATGAATCCTGAAGCCAAAAGTTCTTGAACCTGTTTCTCAATCTCGTTTTTCTGATGATGGGCGTAATGATAAGGATGCACACCCACTAGTTTGGCTCCCTCAACTAAGTGGATGACATGGTCACAAGCACGAGAAGGTGGCAACGTAACAGGAGCCTTAAAGACTAGTTGGAATTGAACCAATACCTCCCAAACTGACGAAGGAATTTGGCTCTGCAACTTTTCCAACTTTGGTAGTATAGACTGAGAGCCATTTGTTGCAGGTACAGAAGTCAACGAGCAGCACACTGAGTCTACTGACTTGCTTTGATCTCCATGTAAGGTTACCATAATGCCATTCCACGAAAATTGCATTGGGTCAGCATAGTCCTGTAAAACCTTACCAAGCCTTCTCAACCAAGTAAAGCCCAGTATGATGCCAAACTCAGCTAAGGTAATAACCCATAGGTCCACGGAACAAATATGGCCCTACAAATCAAGAGACACATTGGCACACTTATGGTCACATAAAAGGAAATCACCATTACCCAAAAATACTCGCATGCGAGGAGCTTTGGACATAGGTAATTTCAGTTGCTCACCCAACTCCTTCTGTATGAAGCTATGAGAGCTCCCTGAGTTAATCAACACAGGAATTCGCTTCCCATGAAAGGATATAGTGAAACACAATGCACGTGGATTCTGATCGCCTTCTAGCGATTCAAAGTTACTTCATTCAAATTATTATCAACAAGCTCAGGTTGCCACAAGATTTCTTCCTCTCCATCAGCATTGCATTCATCCTAATCTTCTATCATCAAATGAAGTATGAACTTACACCTATGCCTCAAAGTCCATTTCTCGTCGCAATAATAGCATAAGCCTTGCTCGCGATGCTTATGCAAGTCCTCTTTCAACATATGTTTAACAGGAATTGACGAAGAAGACTTTGGCACTTATGTACTAGTAACACTCGAAGCCAATAAGTTCGAGTTACTAGTTGTAAAGAACCTTGGGATACACCACCCCAAAAGCTAGCTCAAAGGGTGGGAGTGCCCAAGACCTTATAAACTCCACATTAGTTGCACATATAACCAATGTGGGACTATATATCTCAACACGCCCCCTCACACGAGAGCCTATTGGGCTTGAAGAGTGGACAATGCAACAGACCCAGTTTACCTGTGCTTAGAAACTCCACAAGAGAAAGTGGGGGACGGCGAGGCTCTGATACCATGTAAAGAACCTTGGGATACACCACCCCAAAAGCTAGCTCAAAGGGTGAGAGTGCCCAAGACCTTATAAACTCCACATTAGTTGCACATACAACCAATGTGGGACTATATATCTCAACACTAGTGATTACTGCCGCTTCGAAAGACGCTTGATTCTTTAGAGGAAAACGCTTCACAGCCAATTGGAACGATGATGTGAGCTCAATATGATGAGCTTCATACGCTCGCATGGTGCAATGTAGCAGGTGTAAGGAACTGTATTACTTGTCATAAATCAGCGTTCAACCCGGAAACAAACAAGCTCGTTAACCAATCCTGGTGACGCCTGGAATCTAGTTAATAAGAGCATCATTGTCACGTACGTAATCTATCAACAAGCCAGTTTGTGTGAGCTTGGATAAAGCTCTTTTCATATCAGTGTAATATGTGGCCACAAAATGTTGACGTAATGAAATCTTGAAATCATTCCAAGAACGTGCACTGCCACCATTAAAGAGCCATTGAAACCAAGGAGTTGCTACCCCTTCCATTCGTAATCCAGTTAGCTGCACCTTCAACTGCTCCAGAATATTCTACAAATAAAAGAAAAGCTCTGTCTTGAAGATCTATCTATTTGGATCAGTACCATTAAATTGTGGTAGCTCCATTCGAAGAAACTTCAACAAAGAATGAGGATCATTTGGATTGAAGTGAACATTAAAGTGAGAGTTTGTATCAAAATCAGAAGCATGATGAATTTGGCACTGACGCACTTGATCGACAGGATGCGTTTCCAAGGCAAGAATCGCATCGTGAACCTATTGCAGTTGTTGTGCCATGTTCATCATTTGAGTCTGATTGTTGTCCAGACGATGCTCCAGTCGTATCATCCTCGCTTCAACCTCCTCCACAAGATCTTGGACGCGCATGGTGGTGATGAGTAGAGATAAAAGCACCAAATGTTAGGAAGAACGATCCTAACGAGAGAAAAGTGAAAGAAACTTATGTTATTTCTTGAATGAATATATCTGAGTAAAGTCTCTTTTGGGTCCTTAACAAAAAAACACAGTTACCCTTTTTGTCTCATACAAAAAAAATCAATTTTTGGTCCCTCTACAATTCTAGTTCTTTGAAAATATGGTCCTTCAAAAATTCAATGAAGACCCAATTTAGTCCCTAAAAAATGACTAATATGGGTATTATTTTTAGTAAGGGACGAAAATAGAGACCGTACTTTTTGTTAGGGACCCAAAAGAGGCTTTACTGAATATATCTTGTACAAGCTAATGACTTTTATACATTATACCAATTGGTTATACACATTACTACGTCTGCACTCCATGCTAACAACATAACTACTCTCATCTTATTACATTATTACTCCTTTACACATACATTGGTACTGCTACTACACATACAATTCAACATTTTCATTCCACATATGCTTGACTTAGTCACCCATGTAGCATATAGTTCCTCCTCCACATAGGCACCTTGATCTCTCTTTTTGATCTATGCCTCGTAACACTCGTCACTCCCATTCGTTTACAATGGATGAGTAGTCATGGAGGGGGAATCAAGCCTGTGTTGAATCGGTGCGAATAGAAACAACGATTAGGTGAGGTGAGTTGGAGTTAGGGGTGTTCGCGGTCTGGATTGGATCGATTTTTGAAGTAAAAATCATCTGATTCAATCCTTTCGGTTTGATCATGTAATCATCCATTCGGTTGAGATTTTTATTCAAATCCGATTCGATCTAATCCAATTTTTTTCGGTTTGGATTGAATCGTTTTCGGTTTTTTGAAAATTCTAAAATTTGTTTCATGATTATTGTGTAAATAACATTTTTTGTATATATTGGTTTTGTAAATTTTTTTTTTTTTTTGAAATACAAAAGAAGTAAATGATAATATAGTTTTTTTTTTGGACAATGAGATATGAAGCTCTGCATGGATGAAATTTTGTTGATGAGATGTGACTAGGTTTTTTCTTGGATTTAGTTGATGAGTTGATGAGTCTTGGGTTTAGAAATTTTTGGGTTATGATCGGGGAAAGACCCAAGCAGATAGAGAGAAATTAATATATGGGATCGGTTTGGATTGGATCGGTTTTCATCAACCAATCCAAAAATCGATCCAATCCAATTAAAATTTGTGGTTTTGTTTTTTTTTTTTTTTTTTTTCAGTTTTTGGTTTTTTGATTTTCAATTTATTCAGTTATCAATTTTTTGGTTCGATCATTGCAGTTTGAATCAGTTGATGAACACCCCTAATTAGAGTGAGAATGCAACAAGAGTGAGAACAGAGCATGCATTGTAGCACAGGTGGTGTCTCAAGAGTGAGAATGCCATAGTGTGCACCTAAAATCTACTAACATGACCAGATCATTCTTTGAGTGCCATATTACAAAGTGATGAATCGATACATAGTGAGAGATATTGAGTGAAAGTAAATTTTACTTCAAAATTACACCTATAGTTGGAATACTAATTAATTTTATTATTTGCAGAAGAAAAATTGTAATGCAGCTGTTTTATTACACATAGTGATTAACGAACACAAACAAACAATAACCATTCACAGGAAATTTTTCGAGCAAAGAAAAGCACATTGGTCAAGAATTAATTTACCTACCTCTCAAATTCATATATAAGAAGAATCATTCAATGCTTTGATTAATGAATTCATACAGCAACTCTCGGAGGACATGCATATGCTTTCGTTTTTACCCTAATGCAGGGGCGGACCAACCCTAAATTTTAAATATTTTATTATTTTATGTATAAAATAATTTTTTAATATAATAAACTATTAGTATTAATAATTAACCCCTCCCAAAAAAATATTTATAATTTTATATTTTATTAGTCTTAATAATATTTATAATTGTAAAATTTTATTTTCGTCTCTTATTATTAAAAAAATTCTGGATTCGTTAATGGTTGCTTTTAATCAACAATGAGCAAATAAAGAAAAAAATAATGCTCAACAAAAATGGTCTCGTTCTAATAGTTAATGTGGACACAAACCATCCTTATATTAAAAGTGAACGGCAAATAAACACTTTACATGTCACATGTAAAATTCTATTTAAGTCTAATAAATAAAACTTAATTCAGAGGCTAACCTAACTAATTAGTGGACAACAAGAACCACCAAAATGTGTTTTATTTTCCTCAAAAACTAACATGTCCGATGCCTTTTTATCAGAACAAATTTAAAATTTTAATACATGTTTATATTTATATTATTTTAAGAGAGAGATAAACACAATAAATTAAAATCATGGGAAGAAAGTTAATGATTTTTTTTAGTTCAAATTTTAAATAGATTTTTTTATTTTGCGTCTATTTTTATTTTTAAATGACATAATTTTATGTAATTTAAAATGACAAATACTCTTTTCTTAAAAAAATATATTTTTAAATATTAACAGCTTTTTTCTCTTCTCTTTTTTAAATTTTTTTCGCGTCAGCGTACCCAAAAAAAAAACAAAAAACACCTTATAAAATAATCCTAAATGAAACGCCCGTAGTTTGCACAATAAATCAGACGCGGATTTTAGGTCGTTAAATTTCAGTAAGCGTTTTGTGCATGACAGTGATAATCCTAATTGCTGTTTCAATTTTCTCTCCTTCTCTCCACGAACATCATCTTCAATGCTCCACAACACAAATAACAGTATATCGATCTCCCTCTCGGACGACGAAACCGATGAACTGGGTCGGATGCGTGTCCGTGCGCGACGAAAGCGCAAGAAACTGAGCCACAAACGATTGTTCAGAAAACTGCTAGTCAGATACTGGATGCTACTCATCATTATTCCAGCTACGTGCTTGCTTATATTCGAGGCCACAAGAATCGGTCGAAAGCCTAATTTGAATGTGAATTCAAACATAGAAACACACACTCAAGTTGATCGATCTAGTCCCACATTGGGGAAGGAACCTCACCGTAACTTGAATCGCCTTGATCCCACTACACACGTTGTTGGTGGCGTCAGAGAACGTAAGTCCAAAATTAACCATTTAATTTTTTTTTTTTTTTTTTTAATTTTTTTTTTTCCTCTTTCATTTGTTTTTGTAATTTTTTGTTTTCTTATTGGACAGTCAGAGCCTTTGATAGAGCAATGTCATGTTATGTATGACATGTGATTTAATCCTATCAGGTTGCTTGAAGCTTCTACCACCTGAAAAGCTTGAGCATTTGGATATTCCTGTGGAAGAAGAATCTAGTTTCCCTGTTGGTGAAGTTTTATACATATCAGAAAGTGATTCATCTTTTGTAGGAGGGAATGCTACATTGTCTCAATTGCGTACAGAAGACACGAGATTTAATTTATTTACCGGAAACCAAACACTTGAGCAGAGAGATGAAAGTTTTGAGGTAATTAGGGTTCTATTTTTTTTTTAATTTCTCCTTAAGTGATAGCCAATGTTGGGTTTAAACCTTTTTGTTTCTTCACATAGGTGAAAGAAACTATGATGGTACATTGTGGGTTCTACTGTGTAAATGGTGGGTTTAAGATATCTGATGAAGATAAAAGTTACATGCAAACTTGCAAAGTTGTGGTATCTACTTGTGCATTTGGTGGCGGAGATGATCTCTATCAACCAATTGGAATGTCGGAGACTTCGATTAAGAAGGTTATTTAAGTAGTGTAAGAGTTTGTTGTTAATGTATTTTAGAAGTCACTAATCTTATTTGCCACATCTATTTAGTGGTATGCAGGTTTGCTATGTAGCATTCTGGGATGAAATCACCCTAAAAGCTCAAGAATTAGTGGAGCGCAGAATTGGTGAAAATGGATTTATTGGACAATGGCGTGTTGTTGTGGTTCGGGATCTTCCTTTTGCTGATCAAAGGTTGAATGGTAAAATTCCCAAGGTATTAGATCTTTGAAGTGCTCGCCCCTTCTTTTCTTCCTTTATGTGATTTGCTATATCTTGATAATGTTTCAAGTGCATATAGTTAACATGTAGCTGCAATTGGTTCCATGTCCTACCCAATCGTTCTCCTAGGATTCTATTTCTTTTCATTCAGTGCTATGTGAATACGTGTACAGAATGATTGTTGTCTTCATTAGCTCCCCTTTTAATCCTCATTAAGTCCATGGATTGTGCATACTGACACATGCTTTATTTGTCAAGGACAAAATAAGATATATGCTCAGAATACTAAGTTAATCACTACTTTTTTTTAGGGTATTTTCCTCTGTTAAAACTTTCCTTTATTTGTTTACTTTGTCAACAATGTGTGCGCTTGGATATCTTTCAGATGTTAAGCCATCGTCTTTTTCCTCAAGCAAAATACTCTATTTGGGTAGACTCCAAGTCCCAATTTAGGAGGGATCCACTAGGTGTGTTGGAAGCACTCCTTTGGCGCACGAATTCTGTACTTGCCATATCTGAACATGGAGCTCGTAGTAGTGTCTATGATGAGGCTAAGGCTGTTGTCAAGAAAAACAAAGCTAAGCCAGAGGAAGTTGAAGTGCAACTGAATCAATACAGAAAAGATGGCTTGCCTGAAGACAAGAGATTTAATGGAAAGAAAGGTATGCACATATTATCTTTTCATTAGCTAACTGTATTTTCAACTGTTTTTTTTTCTTTTCTTCATAAGGGAAAGATTGCTGTAGTGTTTCATCTAAGATTTTGCTGTCATCGTTTGATACTAATAATGTCTATAGCTGTATGCATGTCAATAGATGCCAATCCTCTCATCGAGTCTGTTACCAAACTTTGACTTACATTGGATTGTTTTCCGACCTTTTTTCTAATATTCTGCAAAATGCTCCATTCAAAACCCTTTCTGTGCAGCTCTGTGTGAAGCTTCTGTTATCGTGAGGAATCATACACCACTAACTAATCTATTGATGTGCATCTGGTTCAATGAGGTGGTTCGCTTTACTTCTAGGGATCAGCTCAGCTTCCCATATGTCCTGTGGCGGCTGAAAGCATTCAAAAACATCAATATGTTCCCTGTCTGCACCCGCAAGGATCTTGTCAATAGCATGGGCCATATCCGCAAGGCCAAACCTTTGCAAAGCTGATCTAGTTTAATTGGTTGAAAACGATCCCTTTCTGCAATTATCTAATTCATTCCTTATTTCATTAGTTTCATTAACCAATCAAAATTAAGTATATGTATTGTTTTTCTTACCCCACCCCTCCTCTCTTATAGCCGGTGTATGGTTATAATTGTATTTATTGTCTAAGCTCTTTTTTTTATACAATTGTTTAAGCTCTTTGATTAGGTTATTTCAGAAAAGATCTAGTTGATGGAAAGGAAAATCATGCAAACAAGAGACTTTGCTTTCGACCTGTTTCCCAACACATAAACTTCTATAATAACACCAATGTTTTCATACATTGTCAGATTGCTGTGCCCCCTTAGATGTAGTGAAAATGAATAAATGCAGCCATATGTTGTTGGAATGAATCTCCTCTCCTGCTCGACATGTTGCAATTACTACAGTGGCAGCTGCTCTACCAGTTATTTTTGAAGCGGGATCTGATGGCAAGGAAAATGGTTGAGTTAGACATACAATGAAACAGTTGGCCCGAGCAAAACTTCAAACCACTGATGCAACAGATGCCTTGTCATCTCGGTGATTCATTTTTGCAACACCAGTGAAAAACAACTCAAGCGTAGAAAGAAGCCCTTGATACTCCTAAGATAGAGAAGTTACATAATTAGACGGAACCTTTTTTAGGTTGGGTAGTTTTTGAGGATATGACTAAGGATTAAGTTGTACCTGGATATTTATTTTTATGGTCATTTGGTTTTAGTTTCGAAGTTTTTTAAGACGATACAAGGAATGAGCATGTTAGGTCCTGAAAAAAAGAGGAGTTGCATAATGAAAGGAGCCTTTCTAAGGCTGAGTATTTTTTGTAAAAATAGTCTAGGGATTGGTCGTACCTAGATGCCTATTTTCTGTGGTTTTCAATTACCAAAATTTTTAGAGCTTTGTAGACTTGGTGAGGAATAAATCTTTGGTACTACTGTTATACCTAGATTCAGTGCATCTTAGCAATGAGAGCATTACACATCAGAGGAGAGAGAAAAAATTTGACAGAAAAAATAATAATTTATCTGACATGTAATATTATCATTGGTAGGATGCACTGAATCTTTGGTACAACAGTAGTACCAAAGATTTATTCTTGGTGAGGGTCCATTTTTTCTTGTTTTATCTTACAAAACCCGGAATTAGTCTTAGAAGGTAGAATCCATGATCCAAATGAAGGCATTAAGGCCTTTGAGATGAATCTTGGATGCTTTCAGCCGCCACAGGACATATGGGATGTTGGAGCTTTAGTCAAGATTGAAAAGGTTAATAGAGCTTTTTTTTTATAGACCGTAAGTATTTTTCATAAGAGGGAATCATATTCAGGACGGGTTCAGAATTCAGGTTTCAAAACTCTTTTAAATATGGTACTAGGAAGGATTGAACACATGATCTCAATTTCACTTGCTCAGTTTTTATGCGTTAATTGAGCTACCATTATTTGATTAATAGAGCTTATTTTAATTGTCGTCAGTTAGACCATTTTGCGCATTGGTGTAGGAAGGGAATGTACTCTAGCATTTTGTAAGATTTGCTTATATTTTCAGCTGAATCCTCTTTACTCAAGACTAATGCAGGATTCTCAGCATGGTGAGACAAATAAGATACAGGTTATTGTGATTCCCCTATTGGCTATTCCCGAATTGGACGAGCAAGATGTAGTAGAGTCGTGGATCTTGGACAAAAAATTTTGGTGGCCTAATAATGCATAATCTCAAATTTGTTTGCGTTAGTTTGAAGGTTGATTATCCCGTATCAATTATTCAACTTTAAGCACCAAAATTAGGCTTTCTATGAGACAAATATATTGATGCTATGCGGTTTTATTTTTCTTAATACTATCTTTCATTATGTACCCAAAAAAAAGCATTAATTATTTTATTTGATTTTTACCTTTATATTTTGAAAATAAATAGACAACTTCTAATGTCTAATGTATTTATGGGTTTCATGTTTTTCCTGCGAATAAAAAATAATTTTATCACGAGAATATGTAAATGTGAGACTATGTTAGGAGGAGAGAAAAAAAGAAAAAATAAACTCCACATGCATGCTTGCATAAAAAACATTAAACCTTATATTTATGGGTTTGGTGTTTTCATTTTAAATGATATAAGTTATGTCATTTTAAGTGAGAGATAGACACAAGGGAATGAAATCACGAGAGAGAAAGTTGGTGGTTTTTTTTTTAATTTAAATTTTAAATAAAAATATTTTTTTGTGTCTATCTCTCTTAAAATGATATAATTTTATGTCATTTAAAATGACAAACAATTTTCTTTATATCTATTTATATGTTAAATAATCAAAATTAAAGAAGGCTACATATATCTGGTCGGAAGCCATCTTGATAAAATAAGAATTGTTTTTTACTCTAAAAATATATATCAAATGAAAATTTACATTCACCTCTCCACTGATACAAAATAAAAAAAAATATGAATCTCAATAATTTTGTTATTACGATATTATTTATTATCTATTGATGAAGATACGTTATTCTACCTTTTTTTTGCCTACATTTGCCTGTCATTCTTCAATGTTAGATTAGAATCTAAATAGGAAATAGAAATGATAAAGGTAGTTGAGATTCTGATCTAATAATATTGAAAAGTAATAGAAAAAGATAGACGAAAAAAGAGGTATATAGAATAACTTATCTCATATTGATGGCAAAAGTAATTTTAATTAAGTTTGTTTGATACAGTTACGTTGAAGCCTTAGAAGGAATTGAATAGGAATGAAAATTTTGATTCTTATGTTTGGTTAGGTGATAAGAAAGAAAGTAAACATTCTCAACACCTCACAAAAAAAAAAAACATTCTCAACAGAATGAGTTTTTTTTTTTTAATTATCTACCATTCTTGTGGGCTATAATTAATTGTGTTCTTTTTATTTTAATAAAAATAATCTAAGTCATGAACTATATAAGAGTGTATTATATAAGATTTCTTAATTGAGTGATTTTTCTATTTGGGTTTAGATATTTGTAACATTGATTTGCGGGTAGGTAATAGTGTAAGTCCAACCGATGTGCATATAATAGGAGGAGGGTTAGTGTTCTGGATGGCCCAAGTACTGGAGTGGCCCAATTACTCAGGCCCAACCCTCAGCTGACCCAGTTACTCAAACCCAACCCCCGACCTTGTTCCGCGTCAGCCCTTAGGGCTGATGTAGACCCTCACGATCTCCAAGACTGCAGCACGTCCAAGAGATACACCAAAATGTCCCACTTCGGGACATTAACCGCTAAAGGCAGTCGCCATAAGCACTGCAAAGGAACCTGCCCCTTTGTTCAGCGCTGACATCGCCGGGTGCAGTGGTTGCAGCACTGCCATTGTGGCAGCGCCAACCACGCCTAACACTGCCATCATGGGTGTGCACCACAAGAAGGGTTGACCCCCACCTCACAAACCCGCATCATCTTCCTTATAAATAGCCCTTAGGGGGCACACCACCAGATATCTTTTATGTACTGTTGTTATGCCCATTTACTTCCAAGTCATACTCTTGTTATTTATCTGCCATTGATATCAACTTGCTACCTCTTGGAACTATATCTTCTAGCCTGGTCTTTACCTCAGCTAGTGGTGTAATCCATATAATAACATTACCCTCAAGGGTACATAGTGGGCTCACAGAACTGAACGGTACATTGGCGCCGTCTGTGGGAAACTATAAACTTCTAATCCCATTCTCCTACCAAAGATCCACAAGACGTGTGTTACGTTTTGATAACAAACATGGTTGTCACAACCAGAAGAGCGGAACAAACCAGGGCCGTCACTCCTGACGGTCATGTACAAACAATACGTTCAAATTCCCCGCCATTGATGCATTCAGCCCCAGCCGAGAGACCCCCCGGCGAGATGCTCCAACCTGTATTACAACCCGTCGGTCCACAAATGCAAGCAGTCGAACCCAGGATAGCACAGTTGAATTATCGCGCACCTATGCGTGAAATGCAAGGGGGAAACCTGGTACAAGACCAACCCCCGCCACCAGGAGTTCGTTTTAGAATGCCTTTCCACACTATTGCCCCACCGGTCATTCCCGTCCCACGAGCCCATCGCCCACAACCAGCCCAAAGTCTACCAGTAGTCATGCACAACGATTACCGAGCACCAATGGTCACCCCGTTCCCTATGGGACCATACCCCCATTTCCCTCAACTTTACCCAACTGGTTTTCCTTTCCATGGTTACGTTGCCCAACCGCAGAATCCGGCCATCCCGCTGCACCAAGTGTCCTATCAAAACCAGGGTCAACAACCGTATCTCGCCCAACAGCCTTTCAATCACGCCCCGACCCTCTCCTACTCTGTTGAAGCCCCTCAACCACAAATAGACCGTCCCGCCCGAAACAACAATATACGAGTCACGCAACCCATACGTCGGGGCGCAACAAACCCCTGACTAATATCCTCCAGTTAACACCCATACCCCTTGGTTTTAAATGACCCTCCAATATCGCCACATATGTTGGAGATGCCGATCCTTTTGAATGGATCCAGAAATTTGAGGCAGCAATGACTCTCCATGGTGAAACAGACCTCCTCATGTGCAGGACTTTCCCCATGCTACTTGGGGGCGAGCTTTAACATGGTACACAACCCTACCAACTGGTAGTATCGCTTCATGGGACGAGTTGGCAAGCAAGTTTCAGTCTCACTTTGCCACAAGTCGCCCTGTGCCAAAATCTGTCCACTCTCTAGAAAAAATACGCCAGCAGCCGGGCGAGTCCTTCAAGTCCTTTTTAGACCGCTTTGATAAGGAGGCCCTACAGGTACAAGGCCTGGACCCCAAAGTACAGGTACATATACTTCTTTCGGGCTTGCGACAGGGTGCGTTCACGTACGAGCTCGCCCGCCATGAGATCACTGATCTGGAAGAAGTCAAGAAGGTGGCCTAGGAGTACATGCGAATCGAAGAGTACAAAGGAAGCCGAGTTGACGACGCCCACAGTCAAGAAAAGGCAGTCAGTAAACAGAAGAACCAAATGAAAGAAAGTAAGAAAGGAAACAAACCAGCCAAATATTCAAACCGCCCTTCTGGGCGCGACACATCAGGTCGTCAGACACATGCCGTCCTACAAACGGAGTATAAGGAAGAATCTAAGAGCACCCAGCAGCCTCAGAACCCGCCTAAAGAAAATATCATGTACTGCAAGTTCCATCGCAGCAACGGTCATAACACTGAGCAGTGCAGGCACCTCAAAGACGAAATTGATGAACTCATCAAAGGCGGAGCGCAGAGGCGAGGAGGAGACGGCACACGCCCTTCTGGAACAGGAAGGCGATATCGTGAGCGCAACAAATCGCCTGAAAGAAGAAGAACGAATCAGTCTGGCTCTAGACCCTTCTACAACCGTGACAAGAGAGAGGATTCCCCCAGGAATCGCAGAGCGCGAGCAAGTCCAAACCGCAGAGGGAGGCGTGAAGAAGTGGACGAAGACTCAGTCGCGGTGAAGCACAGAGTGATAAACATGATTTCAGGCGGACTGAGCGGAGGAGGAGAGACAGCGAACGCCAGAAAGAAACATTTGAAGCAGTGTCTGGCGGTCGCTGGCAAAGTCATTGGAAAAGCAAAGAACAACCCTGGTCCAACCAGACCTCAAATTGTTTGGGACAACAGCGATTTGGGCGATGTCCTCCCTGGACATGACGATCCACTCGTCATTCAAGCTATAATCGCCAACTTCGGCGTTAATCGCGTTTTTATTGACCACGGCAGCTCAGCCGACATTTTGT